CTGCTCCGATCCGCCAGCGCTGACTGGCGGATTGGATGGGGAGGGGGAGGGTACAGCTGGCTCTGCCTCTAGATAGGCAGAGCCAGCTGTCACTCACGCAGCTGGGCGGATCCCGGCATAATTGTCGGGATCCTCTTCAGCTGCGGCGTCTCAGTATACTGAACTTAGGGTGACGGGAGGACGGTAGTTTGTGCCCTCCTTTTACCCTAAGGAGAACTATGGGGAAAAGCCTTGACCCCATAGTTCTCCTTTAAGTATGGATGAGCGCATTAGGTCTTTAGAGTGGCGACAAAAGGAAAATAGCAAAAGTTAATAGTGATTGTAAAAATTATTCTGTGGTGTGCTGCTTTCTTGATTACAGGTAGAGGTGTCCTGTTCTAAAATAGAAAAAAAAAAGAAACGAAAGGGCCACAACCTAGCGCAATAAATGATGTAAAGCCAGGTATTATCAATCGGTCGGCCGATTCTTTCCCCCGCTGGAGAAAGAGGCGCTTTGCGTTGAAACGCGTTGCCTGTATCCTGTACCCCCTCCCCAGCTCCTGTATTAACCTCCTTCCAGCCAGAGGATCCGTTCCAGCCCGGATCTCTCACAGCTTCAGCTGCTGTTTTCCAGTGACAGCGCGGCCCTTTGTTTACCGACTCCTTTACAACATGAGTTTACTGCTGGGGCTGCTATACTCCAGGAGATCAACACAGAAGAATAGGATATGGGGATTCCTGCTATTAATAACCAATTGACAAGGCTCCTGTACATTTCACCAAATGTGAGTGCATTTTATTTACTTATTCATTCAATAAATATTTTAATTGATCTACACGATCAGAGGCTGGTCATTTCTCTCTGTGTTCTTCTGTCCCCCTTGACCAGATTAGTGTTTCTGCAAAAAGAGCTTGTTACAGTATCAGAGGAGCACAGTGTTGCTGCTGGCCTTGGATATATTGTTTGCTTGTGGATAGCTATGAGTGCAATTTAGTTATTTCATATTTCTCCCTGGCTTTAAATCATTTATTGTGCTAGATTGTGAAGGTTTCTTTTCTTTTTTTGATCCAGCACTGAATGTCTCCCTCTCCTGGCTGTGTAAGTGGGGAGATAGCCCCATTGAAGTCTATAGGGCTGTAATATGCAGGTGCAGCCAGCAGAGGGCACTGGATGTAAACAATAGTTGAACAGTGCCTAGCAGATCATAATATGAATCTGTGGAGGTGGCATTGTTTAGGTCAAGGGTGGGGGCAAAAAGGATACCTGCACTTTGTTTTAAATTGCACTTATCCTTTAAAGTGTATTTCTAGGCAAATTGTTTATAGTTTTGGTTAGAGTGGGCAAAGGTTAGACCTTCTATCAAGTTTGTATTACTGTCTGAGTCTCCACAGGTGCACTTAACCTCTCTATTGGTACTGGTTACCATTGTCACTGAGAAAGAGAGTGAATGGAAATCCAAAATTTTAGAGTTGTCCCCAGAATAAGAGGTACAGGGAAATCATCTTATGGGGACACCTGTTCAAGGTATAACTGTCTAAGAGGGAATCCCACTCACTTTGAGAGATTTACACCAACTTCCGGTTGTGTCTCTGGTACAAGAAGTGAAAAGAAATGTCCCTAATGGTATACAGAAAACAGTAGGTCTCCCGCACTCCTAACAGCGCTTCCGGTCATAGTGGAAATAGTGGTGCTCGCAGTGACAATCACGGATGGCGTCGTGTACAACAGTCAATGAACAATAGAAATCACCAGCACTCCGTAAATGAAATTACGGAGTACTGGTGATTTCTATCATTTATTCCCAATGGTCTACAGACAGCACCAAAAAAAAAACTGGCAGGGGTTTTAACCTTTCCCTATGCTTTTCAAAACCAAAGGAGAAAACTTTTAGCTATACATAGACTTGAAATCCTAGTGTTGCCGGTATTAAACAAGCCTGTTATATTGCCTATTTTAGGTAAAGTACAGGTTCTCTGAATTTGGTAATCTTTGCTAAGTAGGGATGCACTGATACTGGTATTTTGGTACCGAGTACGAGTACCGATAATTCTTTTTCGGTACTCGCCGATAACAATTACCGAGTACTGGAAGTCCTATTCAGGAAGCCAGATGGCGTGTAATGACTCGCCACCTGGCTTCCTGATTAGCCGGGAAGCCGGGCAGCATGTAAAGACTCGCCACCCGGCTTCCCGATTAACAAGAAAGCCGTCCCATACGAATCCCCATAATAATAATCATATGATCCAGCATGTCTCTGCAGTGCGGATCTCTGTCCCCTCTCACCTTGGCATGTCCAGCCTGTCACCCCCGGGGCCTCTCCAGCCAGGAGCGGCCTTCCTCCGGTACCCAGCCGGAGCCGTCTTGCTGGCCAATCATGGAAGCTGGGCGCCGTGTAATGACGCAGCGCCGTGCTTTCTGATTGGCCGGGAGGCCGGCTCCATGCTCCCTCGTCATGAGATGGCGAGGGAGCATGAAGCTGGCTTCCCGGTCAATCAGAGTGCCGGGCGCTGAGTCATTACAAGGTGCTCGTCTTCCTGATTGGCCAGCTTCCCGACAAATCAGGAAGCCGGGCAGCGCGTCATTACATGCTGCCCGGCTTCCTGATTGGCCGGGAAGTCGGCTCCATGCTCTCTCATCACGAAAAGTTGAAATAGTTTTACCCCGTGTATAGCGCTCGTCAGAGGTGGGGGAAACAGTAGGAAGACCGGCTGTACTTGGTGGGTACCCCGGTTGCGACTGGAGCGTGGAAAGTTTTGAAAATTGATGAGGGGGGGGGTTAAGGTTTTTTTTGGTGACGCGTCACCTTCGAAACGCGTCACCAGCCTAACCCGGACTTTCCGAGTGTCTCCAACACTCCATCTCCCCACGGACACTGTTCTAGCAAACCCCTCCTGGACACCGGGCTCCCCCCCCTTCTTCACTTTAGCATAGGACCTACTCTCCACGGCCCGCGCTGCAACACTTTCACTACCGGTATCTTAAGCAAGCTTCTGGCGGACATAGACCCACCGGGCTGCGAGGAAGCCGCAGCGTGAGTCCACCTCCGCTCCTTCTGGACTCGCACCCCCTCCACAGTCAGCATGTCCTAGTGCAGCCGTGCGCTGTGACATCCCGGCAGCTCCACTGCCCTTCAGTCCGCCTTCCGGCACCGCATCGCTTCCCAGTGCCGGACACCAGATTCTTCCAACAGGACATCTGCGTCAGCAGCCACCCAGAGGATCACCCCACGGCCCTTCATCCAGGCACAACATTGGCCGCACCTTCGTCGCTGAGAACCGTTCTTCACTTTCCCCGCGGTGAGTTTTAGAAGTTCTCCCTCCCTTTGCTTACCATTGTTACCTCAGCTCCCTACCCTTGTGTCTCCATCTGCTCCACCTGGCTCTACCACTACACCACCCAGCAAAAGAGGGGCCGTTCCCACTACCGCTCCACTCCATCCGCTCCACCTCACCCCGATTGTTAAAAGCGAACGCTCAACCAGCCACAGGTGAGTACATCACTTACGCTCTTATCCTGCTTTACCACTTTTATTGCGCTAGGTAGTGGCGCTTCTGTCACCAATTTTTGTTTCCTTCTAATGCTCTCTGATTACAAGTGACAAGAAAGCATAGAGCTGCTTCCCGGCCTATCAGGAAACCGGGCAGCGTGTAATGACGTGCTGCCCGGCTTCCTGATACAGGAAGTATCGGGCTAGGCATTGGAGCATTTGGGCGAGTACGAGTACTCGCCCAAATACTCAGTATCGGCACCGATATCGATACTAGTATCGGTATCGGTGCATCCCTATTGCTAAGGTAAACTTTTTTACTTTGTTGTTGACATCCTTTTAACTATGTGTCAGTCTTTTCTGATTGTATTCTACATAAGAACATAACCATAGGCGTGCGCAGCCTATTGCATTAGGGTGTGCAGACAAAAGTACAAACACACACATGTATGTATATATATA